TTTAGTTGCCTAGTAGAGAATATAGCGATAGAGTAGACAACGTAAGTAGTTAGGAGGTAGATTTCTGTACCGCTCCACTTTGTCGTGGTACGATTTTTTAAATACCTATATAAAATGCTACAAAAATGTGTACGTAACTAACACACCTAATGTTCAAAACGCCTTTTGTTAATGGACACACACAACTTTTCTTTTATTATTTCAATATTAGAATTATGCACTATATAATGATTTCACTGTATTATATTTAAAATGTTCTTATTTTAGATTCGACTTCTACTCCAACCGAAGTTACGCCATATTTGCTATCCTTAATGAGATTGTAAAATTAAATTAATGAAAAAAGCAATTCGCTTTCATTATGCTCTTAATTAAAGTAACAAGTGTTGCCGGACCATTAAATAAATACAACTAAGGACGTAAGATGGGCCCCTAACATGGTTGAATAATACACAAGTGTCATTGAGCGTTAGATACGCCGTTGTTATGAAGTGCAGTAGATCGTCACATGCAAGCTATTAAGCGACTCGTTTCGCTCTGTTTGTTCTTACGACTAGCGTGTGGAGATAAGTATGCCGTACCATCTTTGTTCGGATGTTTGTTCTGTTTTGTAATTTCTGTGTAATTGTTATAACCATCTCACAACAATTTTCCCAAGTCGCGGAGATCACATTGTCCTTAGTGTATGTCACATAAGAATGTTTTAAAGGTTCAGTTTAAAATAATCATTTAATAGCTTCCCACAACCATAAAAAAGTATCAAAAGAAATTCGAAACTTGAATATAATCTTGTGCTTCCTTTACTTTTCATAAATATTTAGGTAAACTACATTGCTTTAAATCGAATAGTCTAGAATCTACTAAAAACTATAAGTTAGTGGATTACACTCTCAGAGGAAAGAGCTTTTGTAACCACATTTTGCAATCATAGAAGAGGAATCTACTGTCATGTAGTACGTGCGTTTCTACAGTGAGCTCAATAAAAATATGCACAATTAGGTCATTAAACCCTACCTACAAATCCTGTTGTTGCAAAAATAAGAACAAATATGCTAGTCAACGCAGTATGAAAAGAATATTAAAATAGTTATTTCCTTGGGGGATCTAAATTTATTTTGACACAGGGGGAGCTGGTGAGTCAACCACTTTACAACCGGACAATCAAATTATATCTCGATTGCATTTTTATCATTTGAGATCATAGTTCAAGAAATATTTACAACTGTCTCTTGACTTAATGTCCATAGTGCTCATATTTTTCAACATCAAAAGTATCCTCTTCTCAAAGCCCCAGGCTACATTTTTCATTCCAAAGGTTATGGAGTTGCAAGCTTCTGTATTGAAATTACTTACTTTACTAAAATTGATAACGATTTGTATTATTACCCATTCACCTACATATACACATACTATACGATCCTAAACTAAGATCATAAGTTTCTGAAGATTCCGTATAAATAAAAAACCAGTTTGGTTTTACTTAGTAAAGGCCATGGTACAAATAAATTCATTAAAAACCAAAATGAGACAGACAAAAATGTGTGACTGATAAAATACTAAATAATACAAAATATTTATCAAATCAAACTACATTTCGAATTAACGTTTTTATCGCTTTCATATAGAAATAATATAAATTTTGGGTTGGTGAGTAATCGACAGAGAAATCAGTCTGATATCAGGGAACTTCGACGAGCTTCGTTACCATTACGAGCCAACCAACCCTCGCTTATGGAAAAGTCATTAGACTTGCCCTTATACTAACTAGTAACTTGGCCTAAACACTTATATATATGTATATATAAATCATATATACATATTATAATATTTCCATACATAACATATATGTATATGTGTCTAGGCCGCGTCTTGTCGTTAAAATATCTATCGTAATTATATGACATTTCAGATTGACCATAAAATATTATACAATACAAAAAATAAACAACTAAGAACTATGCTCAAGTTCCCTTTTTAAAGACCGAATCTTTAAAAAGGGAACTTCTGCATTTCAACAGAAATTTATATTTGATTCACGATGGACTTCTGTAAGATACTATTAATAAATCTGAAATACGCTTACATTCAGAACAATTACCTATATGTCGCATTAACCGCTGGAGAGGCATGATTCAGCTCCCATGGGTAGGCTCTACCGGAGTGATCCCACGGCCCTACTAAAAACCGGTATTAAACAATTCTTTGCACTCTCCCCTTGATTCTGGGGGATGGAAGCCAAAGGGCTGCGAAACACTATGAGTCTTGACTTGCAGCTGCTCATGGATGGCGGTAGTCACTTAACAACAGTCTGGTCTTTTAACCACTAAGCCATAAAAAAGAAACGTAATTAACAACCCTTTATTTGACAGATATAAATAGTCGTTAATTGAAATTCAGTTGCATGTTGGATTTAAAGTGTACTAATGTCAAGACTTCCCTATAACGAGATTAATTGGACCGTGTTGTGCAGGATTGATAGAATGCTCAACGGAAAGTATTGATCAGTATTATTTTATAATCTTTCTAAAAACCACCTTATTAATATACTGATTAAATATTGTTTTTCAACGCAACGTAAATGAATGTTATCGTTGTATGAACACAGATAGTTTTAAACAGTTAATTGGCATTATTAATTTTACGAATTTTTAAATTGAATCGTTGCTGCATTTAAGCAGCACAATAAATATTCGTCGAAGTTCGGCGCGGCCTTACGTTGTAAGTTGGATTCCAGTTTAAAGCAAACATTTATCCATGTATAAAAATGTAATGTTGGTTTGTGTGCACAGTTTAAGCTCAAATTTGGACACGATATACACACCGACTAAAAGTTGTTTTTCATATATTTTTCTCGTCAGTTTTGGTTCTCATTTCTCTTCAATGCAACCACAATATACCACAGCCAAGCGTGGCACGGTGTAGCTAGTATCATAAATTTACATCGGTCTGGGTTCCTCGAAAAAATATTACTTATTATTTTAATTTAAAATTTACATATTTAAATTAATCACACCCAATGACGGTTGTATACATGGCCAGATAGCTTATAATAGCTAATAACATCAGCATACTAAATATACTCGTATGATAGTGTTTTCGAAACGCCTACTTTTTACACGCTTTATATTAGCTTCACTTGTATGTTTGTTTGTATGTTTTTAACCGACTCCTTTGGGCGTGATTTTGACTGACTTTAAACGGTCAGAATTCGTTCAAACTTTGTTGATATATCGAGGACCGATGACAATACACTAATTTAAAAAATAAAATGAAAAAAATAGTTTAAAAAAAAACAAAAAACAGGCTTTTATAGAAATTTTAATAAATATGAAAAAAAGCGTTTGGTGCCAGTTGTCAATAGTAAAAAGCACCCACGCTTTTTTTCATATTTATTAAAATTTATTTTCTATTTTTTAGTTTGGTTTTCTATAAAAGCGTGTTTTTTTAGTTTATTTAAATTATTATTTTTTTCTAAAATAGAACTCTGCACTGCAGTTGAGATCCAGGAACCTTGGTTTAGACATCTACTGAGCCTTGTCCGTTTACAAACATTGTTTGATATGAGTATTGAACCTACTACTACTAGACTTGTCCTAGTGTCCGTCTTCACAGTCAAAATACATAACAATGCACATCACATTCCTTCATTCAAAAATATGCTATATAAAGCGTCTACCATAAACAGTTTAATGTTGTGTACGTAGCGACAAGAAGTAGTTATATTTCTTATCGGCACGTACGTTTATATGTGGCGCTGTATCTTATAGAGGTCGAGGGCGCCATCAGCGGTAATGGGGGTCTTGGCTGGATTGCCACCGATTAGACCTAACGGCCCGTGGGAATATTGAAATATATCTGCCTCCTTTTTTTTACTTACACACGTTACTCCCTTACAGAATAAATACATTGATGTTACTATTTGTACCTATATAGCTGTATATTTTTATTACGCCCATATACAACGAATGGTTTTTGGATACTTAATCATTCGGTTGAAGTTGCCGTTTTAGTTTAACAAACTCGACCTATATCACATGGAACATAGAACTACATAACATAGAACCTTATACAAAAAGAAACATCATCATCAGCCAATCGCAGTCCACTGCAGGACATAAGCCTTTCCCATTGCACGCCACTTAGATCAATTTTGGGCTTCTCGCATCCAGCTGCTGCCAGCAATCTTGCGCAAATCGTCACTCCACCTGGCCTATTCACTCAAGAACTCGTTTTCCCCAACGGTTGTCGGTTCTGCGGTCAATATGGCCAGCCTACTGCCACTTCAGCTTGCTGATCCGGTAGGCTATGTCGGTGACCTTGGTTCTCTGCCGTATCACCTCATTCCTGATGCGATCTCTTAGAGAAACGCCGAGCATAGCCTTTTCCATAGCACGTTGAGTGACTTTGAACTTGTGGACCTTATGCTTACTTTTAATAAACCAACAATCTGACTAAACTTCAATTAAGCTGTCATTAGCTCTGTTTTATAATGTCACATTTTTTGATATTTCTAATTTTCATGAAAAGCATTACACAAAATTTTTATGACCTTTAATTTTACTTTTAAAAAAGTAAATTTGATGAAGATGCAAAAAAGAAAATATTGGAAAATTAGTCATCAAACAGTCAGTAAATTGGACGCTGTTAGTCCTATTTGTTGTTTAACCTTCTTAGTCTAGTTTAGTCTTAGCACTGGTTAAACAACCAATTGGACCTAAACCTCCGATTGCAATTTATTACATCCACACAACATTTATTAAACACTACTAATCTGTAACCCGTCTTTTTTTATTTACTTTTTAAATTGTACCATCTTTCGTCTCGCTTTCATGCAATCTGTTTTATTGATTTCATGAAAAAGGAAGAAGATACAGTGTGTAAAAGAAAACGTGGAGAATCATGACCATTAGGCGAGATGTATATAATAAAATGAGCAAACCAATTTTATGAAAAACCTACCTCGAAGGGTGTAATAAATATACAAGAGTAGTTTTACTAACCTGTTACAAGATTGGCGTGGTGAAACTGGCAGACAGCATCTGCCTCATACCAAGAAATGCGGTCCCTGAAGTAGCGATAGAATACTGGAAAGCCCTCTTCAGGCAGGACCCATGTGTTGCTTATATTCACCTGCGTTATAAATAAACCAGTTGATTAACTAGTTTTTTTTTTATAATTAGGTATTAATAATGCCAAGTTTAAGGTAATATTTTTAACGTATTATTTGTGAATGAAATAATATCAAAGTTACTTATTTATTATAGTTATAAAACTAAATCTTATGGCAATACGAACTACTTTTTTTCCATACATTCAATGGACCTTTATTCCTATCAAAAAGTAAATCAGTTAAAGTCAAATTATAATTACCTAGCGATTATTACAGTGAGATAATCTAGATGGCAGTATTTGAAAGAGGACTTTCTCTTTTGAATATAATTATTTATCTTCATAGTTATCATTTTAGTTAATACATACATTTCAAAGCCTACGCCATGGAGTGTATTATACAATATTATAATAAAATGTTTCAGTATGCTTCAAAGTTATGGCTTATCACTTGCATCAACAAAGTTCATGTTGTGCTAACATGTTTTTTGTTCCATACGAATTTCCATATAAATGTAAATTCAAAACAAATATTTCAGAAACAACGCCCCCGCTAACATTCTTAGACAGTATAATCTTATGAAGATTGTTTGTCAATAGCGTTCTGAAGTATATACTAAGTGTACCACGTCTCGAAACTCAGGTACGAGAGGAAAGTTTTGAATCAGTGTACCGACCTGGATACGATCGTACTTTCGTATTGTATGCAAAAAAAACCTGTGTGGTACTATTGTGATACTGTGCTAAAAAGCGTCAATATGTATTCAGGGTTTTGCTTGTTCATGACAGTCTAATGAACTTTGTTTTGCCTTTCTCAAAGAAAATCTGTTTGCCTAATGTATAGAAGGTATATGTTAGCATAAAAAGTTTTTTTTTAATAGACTCCGTACTGTGACTTGTCAATACAGCATACTCGACATGTGTTGTAGCTAATGTATGTAGTCTTTTTTTTTTCAAATTTACCATTCTTGCGTGATCGCAATTTGGTTTAAAAAGTACAAAGAATTTTCCATACGTGTCATAGTAAGTATTACGCAGTTGTTATTATATACATATAATATAGTTTTAAATCAATGTATGCTCTGCAATTTACTCTCATGATGAACCTTGCATAAATTGTAAACAAGATTTAGTTTGCATACATCTAAATAAATTGCTATTCCCAAGAGATCGAGAAATCTTTTTTACTTAGCTAAGCTTCTAGCAAAAGCTAGTGGATAGTTTTTTTTTACTTATATCTCTATAGGAAGGGAATGCGTTTGTCGTTATGTCTACATTTTGCAATATAAATATATTTTACGTCCTAGATAATCAACCCTATTGCGGCAACTTCTTTCATACATTTATACTATGTACTTGATTTAATGTTTGATTTGGTCTGGGTGTTTTTATGTATAATAAGTATGTATTTATAAAAAAAAGTATATATGTATTTATATCCGTTGACTAGTAGCCATAGTACAAGCTCTGCTTAGTTTGGGACTTTAGATGGCGTTGTGTGAATGTAGTAGAATATTATTATTATTATTCAGATACTTTATGACAAGATCGAGACAGACACATCATAGTTTTACTGTACACATTAAATCTAAAACTAAATACTATCAATACACTCGAGATCTGATATATCTGCCCTAAAACATATCTAACGCCTTCTCACTAAATAACCACGATGTGTAGTTCAGCCTTGATCAGCACCCAAGGTAATGGTGTAAGTTTAAAATGTATGCATTGCTTTTTAATCACAATATTATTACCCGCCATTTGGTAGAACTATTTATATTAATATCTATTTTCTCAGTTTATTAAATAGTGCCCGTTTTTCTTAGCTACTAAAGCTTACCCCTATATTGAACACAATAAGTGGTATTCCATGTGATGATAACATAGGTAATAAATAAATCTTTTTATGTTTTTAGCCTAAACCGAAAACATTGTATACAAAGGAATGGTAAATAATCACATTTAAAAGGAATTAGTAAAAAGCTGTAAGAATAGCAACTGAATAAAATATTTTACCTGAACAAATACGCAATAAATGTTTCCAAACTACTAAAATTATACTTGTTGAAAGTTGTTGCAGAATTGTCACCTAACCTTCCGCTCGACAAAACAGCCACAAATTAGGTTCGTAGCTACTATTTGGAGTAAATTGTTTGAATTCAAAAGTCCCTATTTAAACCAGACCTGAAGTCTGAGTCACACGACTGGTTTCACCCACGTACGTTTGAAATTAATTACCTTTGCAGTCATCTGTGAAAGCACAGAAGTTCTTAAGTTATATTACTTAACGGAGTTTATACAAACCGTCTAAAACATTCTAAACCCTTTACAAACCCTTTACAAGATTTTCACTGTACTCTATTTTCTTACACAGCCAAGTTGGCTTATTCCACAATTTTATTGCCCTTGTTTCATACTTTACTAATAATAGTTAGTTCTTTGCCCACACGTAGTTACTGTTGCGATTTATAGGTTATAAATATTTTAGAAATAATTCTTAGTCTTACACTTGCTACCAATTACTGGCACGAGTGTTTTATTGTATAAACATATATTATTTAATTTAGTTTTAGGTATATTTGTGTAGTAAAAGGGCTTAACTCTTTCTGTTTGAGTTGTAGTCACCCATGAGATTATGTCTAGCCTAATTTTAAAGTATATTACTTGTTGAAAAATTAATGCATTTTGTTTGAATACATGTAATTGAGTCTCTAGAAACCGAAAGTTTTAAAGATTGTGTAGAACTCGAGTATTACGAGTACGGACTTGTCTACTGAATTGTATAAATAATAACATTGCTTTGTACATTAAAAATATCGAAAGACATAACGGGAAGAAAGGAAATATCTAGTGTCTTTACTTTTTATATTTTACTGTGAAAGTGGTAAACAATATATTTTTAGGTTCAAATTAAACATCTTACTACCTAATTTAAATAAAGTGACGGACTTATTAAAACTAACTATCTACTAATTACAAACGTACCTTACACTAAATACCATGTTTTAGCTCTGAATCGCCATAAGGTTGACTGGGAGAAAATGCCTACGGCATTAAGTCCGCCTTTGTCACATTTGTGCATAAAGTGTAAATAAATAAATATGATAAAATAAATCTTTAAAAAAAAAGTTATAGAGTTAGAATCTACATCGTAATGGACAATTATCAACTTCTTAAAGAAGTCTGAATTACTATTCAAATGTATTAATACAGACATTAATTATTATACGAGTAGGTATTATCGGTAATGGCATTAAGATGTCGGGTCTGGAAGTTGTGGAGTCGTACCCCACTAAGTAGGCTCAAGTTATAAAACTTTGATGCGTATCTTAAAAGTTTGTATTAAGGGGATATGACTCTACAACTTTTAGATCTGACACATTAGCAATAAAAAACAAACTATTTAAAAAATGTTGTTAATTTACTATGCGTGGCTAGAAGACGTGCTGAAATCTTGCTGTCCAGCTCTATAATAACTCCCGATAACTCAATTAATATGCTGAATTCTTAAGTCTTCTATTTTGACTCCGTAATTCAAACAATAGCTCGCCGTGTGTTTAAAATTATTATTCAAAATAATTCTTTACTAAATGTTGCCAGCGGCTCCGCCCGCGCTTTTATGTCGGTCGTCGCTGTAAAAAGTAGCCTATGTTGCTAGCTGATAATGAACCTTTCTGTTAGTGATAGAATTTTATAAATCGATTTAATGGGTTAGGCGTGAAAGCGTAGCAAACAAACTCACTGTCACATTTATATACTATGAGTATGTATTCTATTTTATCTACCTCTTCTTTATCTTTTAATTTTTTTATTGAATCACAAATGAGTATAACTATATTCTTGGTTCCATTTAACAGGTGTTGGCACTTTTCTGTGCATTTTCTGGAGTGAAATTGGCAATAGTCCAAATCGGGCAACATACCTTGGTCTTATGATCAGGTCAATAATATAACTGATATCAAAAGGCAACTATTTTATAGTCAATTCTGCCTTCACATGCGTTACTTTAGTGGTTTACTAATATTCCTATTTGCAAGTAATAGTTAAAACTATCTGCTTAAATCAAAACCACAGTAAAGTGTAAAAATTATCTTCAGTACCTATTTATAGAGTGCCTAAAGATCATGTTGAAGAAAAAATCTTGGAATATACTTAACTAAATAATTTAAACATTTAAAATCGAAGTAACTGACTGCTTATATATAAATCTTAGTAACTGTGAACGGATAGTTACCTAAATTTTATTTATATACGCACGTATACATTGGTTTTAAAACTGGATACTGCGGAACATAGAATGAACATAGGTTGAAAAATCTTTAATAGTCAAAAGCCTTAATTGATAAAAGCCTTAATTCAACTACGCCATAAAAATTTGATGTCAAAAAGATCTAAAGCTATCATCTTAAATTACTTATATTCTATTCAAACAGAGTAACGAAGTATAAGCAGCACAAATAGAATTTATAATCCCTTCATTGTACTAAATACTTTTGATCTGTATTGTAGCATATTAAAAAAAAACTTTGAGCTCGCAAATACATGAGTTTTTATACAGTTAAAATGATAGCTTATAAAGGAGCTTAACTGTATTTATATTTTTGACATTTTTATTTCAGAATATATTTATGTTAAAGTGGGGTAACAAAGTACATATAATAAAAAGTATGATATAAATTACCATGTTATTAAGGAAAAGTTTAGTGAGTTTTCGTTCGTATTTAATAAACTTTTCAATTATGGAAAATATCAAATGATAGAATCATAGGTCACATTTCTTTCGATGCCGGTTATAGAAAGCGCATTGTGGGACTCGTGATGGGCATTTATGGCGATGTAGCTTCTTGGTATTCCTGCTGAAAGTATTCCTCCTGAAGAAAGACTTCAACTTTCTGATACTATAGCTGCGGTAGCGACAGTTGATTTATAACAAACGTGGTCTTCTGAAAGAATTACATTCCGCCGAAAGAGGGAGAGAAGCGCTTACTCAGAGCCAATCACTATAAATTTTTAATTAA